GCCCCTCCCTTCAATCATATCTCTGGAATCTGCAAAAATTTAGCAGACACTTGACCAGCCGCAACCAGGGTACTTTCTCGAGGGAGGAAGACAGAGGACCTTGGGAACGAGGTTGGCGGAGTATGGGGTTTGGACGTCTGCATGTTTACCTTTCTCGGCTTGCTTGCGGTTATATTAGCACGGTTAGGTTTGCTTGCAGTTAGTGTCACTCCATTTTGCTCGCGGTTACCTTCACTCCATTTTGCATACGGTTAGCTTTCATTTGTATCTTAGGGTAACTCTATATCAATTTATATTACTGTTCATTATATGTAGTTTAAATTTTGGGATTTCTGGCAGCTAGCAGCACGGTGGTATAGCGGTAAGAAAGGTCACGTTGGCCCTGGTTCGACTCCAAGTGAGTGCAAAGTTATGTAGTTCTTTTTCGTCATGAAAAAGTTGTGAACTTAAAATTTTAAGTCAAATTTAGTTGACATAGTGTTTCTTCGTGTAGGAACCCGAGAGGAAGTCATCCTCAATCGACGCCCGTGAGCTAGAAACACCCCGAAGAATCCCCGTCCGCCATCTTGTAAAACAATTTAGCCCCAGTCCAACCCAATGCTACAACCTTCGTAGAGGATCATGGGATTTGTTGACAGACGTTTTCGCCATTCTCGATTGTGATCGGATTTGCTGCTTGACTATGACCGCAAATTGTTGAATCTGGTCAAATTTCTTTTCGTTGATTATGATCGGGTCTTTACCTTTATTGAAGTTGATCAAATTTCTTAGGTTGAATGAGATCACACTTGATGATTTTTATGAAGTTATTATCTTGAATTTAATCGTGCCTGTTGAATGTGATTAAACATAACGTATATTTATGTTATCAGTTCATTGTTATGGTTCATAACATATATTTACGTTATGGTTCTTCATAACGTATATATTTACATTATGGCTCACGTATATATTTACGTTATGGTTCATAACGTATATTTATTATACAGACACGAGTGTTTTACTGGAAAATACACCACTCGTAAAATTCATACGAAACAACATCCGGGACTCGAGTGGCGTATTTTCCAAATCCTCACTAGTGAAAATATCGATGATTTCACTGGTTGTCTCTTAAATTGTACTTAAATTTGTTGGTGTATCATCGAAAAATGTTCGGGTCTTCCTCGAAAGTCTTCGGCAATCTTTGGTAATCTTCAGTAATCTTCGGAACGTTTCGGAAAATGTTCGGCAACGTTCGTGTGACCTTCGGACAAGTTTTGGAGAATCTTCGAAATCTTCGGAAAGTGGTCGGAAATCTTCGGAAAATCGTCAAAAACGCCGTCACCAGTATGTCTACATAATAAAAAGAACATTACACGTTAGCTCGAAGATATGAATTTTATGTTCTCGTGGGAAGAACAATATCTGTTCTTGCCAGTCGAACATAAAATTCATATCTTCTCGCCGCCGTGTAATATCCTCTATTTATGTAATTAACTGTACCCATATTTATTGCTGTACACGTTAAGATCGGTTTTACCATGATGACACCTATATTTTTATGCTGATCCTTATATTTTTGGCCTGGTACAAATATTTGCATTGTTTTCAACATTTGGGCAATTATCATTTTTGTCATGAATGGTGTGTCCCATACTTACGACGTTGATTATTCCAGTATTTGTTTTCATAACCCTGAGGTTAACATAAAACGAGACTGCTTTGTGCATAAATTATGAAGCTGGAAACTTAAGCGAGACTGGAGTTGACCTTGTTTTGATACAGACCTCACTGCTTTTGTCATGTAAATGCACCTAGTTAG